CTCATGGTCACGGCATCCTGCAAGCTAAAGGTGAAAGAGAGCAACAGCATTTATGAAGATTTATAGACATCTTTTCTCATTTCAGCCACGCACACATGCATATTCAAGAATTCAGAATGTCTAGTAAAGAGGTCAAGGTGTTAAATAAGATTTTCTAGAGTACAGGTCAGATTAGTTACAAGTTGTGCTAAACAACAACTCTTAATGTTGCTGGTATAAAAATTCAAACAGGTTTTTTATCCTCCACTTTTGACGTCTACTGGGTGGATTAGTGGTTAGCACCGTTGCCTCACAGTAAGAAGGTCCTGGATTCAATCCCTGATTTGGACCTGGACCTTCTGTGTGGAGTTTGCAAATGTCATTAACCTGGTTTTACCCCAAAATAAGTGAAAAACTGCGACGTAGGAAGAGTAGTACAAGTAGTTTATTTTAGTATATATATATATATATATATATATATATATATATATCAATATTCTAAACAATGTTTCTAAATGTTCTAACAGAGCACAGAATGTCATCAGCTCTCTGCCACGGCTGCACTTTGTGGTCTCGGCCACGCCCACTTCTCCGCTGCAGAACAGAGATTGACAGAGGAGCTGTAGGAGGAAGTTTCTCCTGCAGTGTGGGCTGCACACAGGTGCAGCAGATGCTAAAAATAATTTATTTTAAATAAAAATATGCATGCCGATCGTATGGCTCATCCATCAATCAGCCAATTGTGTGTCATGTTCAATCTGATTTTGAAAAACTGCAGTAGCGTCCGCAAAAAACGAACCGCGAAGTAGTGAGGGACTACTGTACTATTTTACTTTGAATATCCAATTAAAGTCAAATAATTTCAGATTTTGTAAACTGGGATCTTGTTGCTCATATAAAACTACATTTACTTGTATCCACCTAACCACAAAAGAAACTGCAAGAAACAAAGGAAAGGCTCAAACACACAGACAGTGACTCCTTCCTTTATTTTTAGATTACGTACTGAAATCATTATTCTTTAGCTCTCACAGCTCAGAGGGAATTAAGTACAATAAAACCACTGGCTGAAATGTACATCATAAGCTTAATGCATCTCGGTAAAAATAATACACTAAATACAATGTTATAAAAAAAAATAAAAATAAAAAAAAAAGAAGCATTTGACAACCCTGTAAACAAACCATGCTTTCTCTTCGTTCCTTTCCAAGAACATTTTGGCACCGACATTGTAAATGACAGAGTATTGCGCAAGGCTTCACCCCTTGCTTCACAGTTGGCAGACGTTGTGGCCGACGCTCCCTCAACTTCAGCTGGACTCAAATGCCAAAAACGTACATCACCTTTGCTCCCCTAAAATAAATATCAGGCTGTCTGTGCTGTTTGCACCACATGCACACACACACACGCCCTCTAAAATAAATAGCAGGTGGTCTGGCCAGATGAGATGCACGTCGTGATCATGTCATGTTGTCGATATATAAACGGACAGAAGCGCTCCGTCGGCAGTTTGTCGTACGAACCTCGACGGACGCAGCTTCGCGTTCATGCCGCGCCACCTCCAGCGTTCAGACGACCTTCAGTGCACTTTACCGTCCCCGTGTGAGTATTTTGTCAACATGTTATGTGGCAGAGTTAGCCCCCTCACTTTCTGTATGTGAATGTGTGTTTGTATGTGAGCGAGAAATAAAATCCTGACTGCGATCATGAGCAGTCAGCTGCTGCTTAGACCGAACTTCCTGCGATCCTCTATCCTTCCTTTTTCCTTTGAGAGATGGGGAATAAAAAGGGCGACTGTGTGAGGACAAAGGTTAGGAGTGTTTCAACTGCACTGGTTGTTAACCTCGTACCTGCTGGATACAGCTCTGTGTGTCAGGTCTGGCGGTAGCACAGATCTCGCAGCCAGGGCGAGAGGGCTTGTTGATAAAAGTGCACGAAGGACATGCCCACTCCGTCAGCTGTGAGATGAGATGAGAGCAAAAGAACATTTACAGTTCAGCCTGATGCTGCTCAATAATCCAGGTAGATAAATCTAACACGGTTCAGTCAGGCCCTCTGGACGGGTTCTTCTGCTGAAACGTTGCGTCTTTTATCCAAAAGACTTCTTCAGCCAGAGGAGCTGCAACAAACTCAGTCTTATAAAGAGCACCTTCTCGACACAAGACCTGGGCCGAACGTTTTCTCACAGGCGTATGCGTTGAGTATTGTTTGATTAGTCAGAAGTTTGTGGGTACGTTTGTTAATGCGGGAATGACTCTTTGAGCACATTAAATGAGTCAAATAGCCACAAACTCCTGGATATGAAGCAGACATCATGGAGGAGTCCCGTCTGCTGAAAAGTGTGGCGCTTTCTTCATGATAGATTTGTGGCCTAATGGCAGATGTAGGGACGGAGTAGAGGGTCTCTGGAGGGAAGAAACCTGCGCGGTGACGTGTAACTGCAGTGGGTTTCACAAGAGCTCCGTGTCTTGAAAGGTGTGTGTGAAAATGAACGTCCCACAAGCACGTGAATGACCTGCGTCGACTGTTCAGCTTTGGATGGAGTGTGCTGGGCAATTACGTCTTTTGGATAAAAGACAAAACGTTTCAACAAATAAGAACCCATCCAGAGGACCTGACTCAACCTTGTTAGAACATTTAGGATTCAGTTCACCCGACTGAAAAGCTCTATCACATTCATAGAAGACTAGAAGTCTAACAGCACGGAATGAACTGATTTACTTTAGTATTACTGTATTTTGATCAATGGACTGGAGAAATACCTGTGTTTTACTGGCTTTGCTGGAGTGATCATTCAGCTGCAGCTTCTCAATATTAAGGACATCTTTGATGTTATTCCCTCCACCTGTACCTGTTGGAATCAGTGAAAACAGGATAAAAAACAGTGAAACAAGAGCAACTTGCACTCTACAAAAAAATAAAAAAACACCAGCTTTGAATTAAAAGGAAAATCTGTGTAAGGTTTTATATTTCTGGATGGTTTTGCTTCATGTTGCAGGGCAGAAAATTTGTAATTGTCATGTTATTAAAGAAGGAGGCTGACATGAGAATGTACAGAAATAATATTAATGTATATGCACTAAATTCTAAACTGAAACTAGAAGCTACAGGTGCTGGTCATTAAATTAGAATATCATGAAAAAATTGATTAATTTCAGTAATTCCATTCAAAAAGTGAAACTTGTATGTATATTATATTCATTCATTACACACAGACTGATATATTTCAAATGTTTATTTATTTTAATGTTGATGATTATAACTGACAACTAATGAAAACCCCAAATTCAGTATCTCAGAAAATTAGAATATTGTGAAAAGCTTCAGTACTGAAGACACCTGGTGCCACACTCTAATCAGCTAATTAACTCAAAACACCTGCAAAGGCCTTTAAATGGTCTCAGTCTAGTTCTGTAGCTACACAATCATGGGGAAGACTGCTGACTTGACAGTTTCCAAAAGACAACCATTGACACCTTGCACAAGGAGGGCAAGACACAAAAGGTCATTGCTAAAGAGGCTGGCTGTTCACAGAGCTCTGTGTCCAAGAACATCAATAGAGAGGTGAAGGGAAGGATGTGGTAGAAAAAAGTGTACAAGCAATAGGGATAACCACACGCTGGAGAGGATGGTGAAACAAAACCCATTCCAAAATGTGGGGGAGAGTCACAAAGAGTGGACTGCAGCTGAAGTCAATGCTTCAAGAACCACCACGCACAGACGTATGCAAGACATGGGTTTCAGTTGTTGCATTCCTTGTGTCAAACCACTCTTGAACAAGAGACAGCGTTAGAAGCGTCTCGCATGGGACTGCTGCTGAGTGGTCCAAAGTTATGTTCTCTGACGAAAGTAAATTCTGCATTTCCTTTGGAAATCAAGGTCCCAGAGTCTGAAGGAAGAGAGGAGAGGCACAGAATCCATGTTGCTTAAGGTCCAGTGTCAAGTTTCCACAGTCAGTGATGGTTTGGGGTGTCATGTCATTGGCTGGTGTTGGTCCACTGTGTTTTCTGAGGTCCAAGGTCAACACAGCTTCTACCAGGAAGTTTTAGACACTTCATGCTTCCTGCTGCTGATCAACTTTATGGATATGCAGATTTCATTTTCCAACAGGACTTGGCACCTGCACACGGTGCCAAAGTTACCAGTACCAGGTTTAAGGACCATGGTATCCCTGTTCTTAATTAGTCAGCAAATTCACCTGACCTTAACCTCATAGAAAATCTATGGGGTATTGTGAAGAGGAAGATGTGATACACCAGACCCAACAATTCAGAAGAGATGAAGGCCACTATCAGAGCAACCTGGGCTCTCATAACACCTGAGCAGTGACACAGACTGATCCACTCCATGCCACGCTGCATTGCTGCAGTAATCCAGACAAAAGGAGCAACAACTAAGTACTGAGTGATGTACATGCTCATACTTTTCAGTTGGCCAAAATTTCTAAAAATCCTTTTTTTTATTGGTCTTAAGTAATATTCTAATTTTCTGAGATAATGAATTTTTGGGTTTTCATTAGTTGTCAGTTATAATCATCAACATTATAAGAAATAAACATTTGAAATATATCAGTGTGTAATAAATGAATATAATATACAAGTTTCACTTTTTGCATGGAATTACTGAAATAAATCAACTTTTTCATGATGTTCTACTTTTATGATCAGCACCTGTAAATACAGTTTGGCACAAGATGGCTAATACAGCTCAACATAGACAAGAAGGGAAAAGAAACTTCAAATGAAAGTATCCTGATGCATGCTCAATAATCCAGGTAGAAAAATCCAAAAAAGTTCAATCTGGTCCTCTGGACATTCAAAAAACAAGAAAACAAAAAAACAAAAAACAAAGCAAAAAAAAAAATGTAGAAACATTTCTACATTTTTTTTTCTTTGTTTTTTTGTTTTTTGAATGTCCAGAGGACCAGATTGAACTTTTTTGGATTCAAATGAAAGTGTTAAAAACAGTTTAAACTCACAAACTGTAGATGTTTTGCAGTCTAAAAAATATAAAACATACACTGAACCTTGATAGATGTTTGCTGAACTCACCTGGGCTGTTGTGAGGAAGCCTTGAGGGGAGGGTGCTGTAACCCCTCCAGTCCTGGGAGGTGGTGCCGTTTCCTGGGGGAAGAGGTGTTGCAAGAAGAGCACTATCCAGGTCCTGCTGGAACAGCTGGCGTGTAACGTGGACTTGACGGGCAGAGATCAGGTAAAGGTACGCCGTATCCCCATCCTTCTGCACCCCGTATGAAGCCAACGACCTCAGCTCTGTGCACAGGCACTGACCAATCACCCAGCGCTGCACCCGAGGATGGAAACCATACTCGAGAAACACCTGAAGTCAAGTATTTACCGTGGAAGTCAGTAAATGACAGAGTATTGCACAAGGCTTCGGTCAGTAAATGACAGTTCAGCACAGGTTTTGATTGATTTTATTTAGATGACTGGTTTTTCACCTGCTGCTTGAGTTCAGCTATGGTCATGTAGGGAAGAACTTTCACCGTTACACAACAGGAAGACGAAGCATCCTCCACCACCACAGACAGACTGAAACACAAA